GTAGTGATCAAATTTGCTTAGAAATGATCGGGAATTCCAGGAATGATTTCAATTTGGAGATTAATCAGTGGCGTACCATCAATGTCTGCCAAAATAGGTATGTGAAATTCCATACGAACGCCACTGGTGGCAACAACAAAAAATGTGGTACGCTAACTGATGCCTCTTGATACATAGTACATGTATGCCAAATTTCATCAGAATATCTGAAGTGGTATTACAGATATTAATAAAAAACTATTAATTTTTGAGAACTTTACCACCCTGTATCTCAAAAGTTAGGATGTTTAGGTCATACGTTCATATGAAACTTTCTTCTTAGAATGGGCCCAAGAATTGCGTCCCCAAATATTGACATTCAATTATGAAACACCCTGTATATACATATATTGTGCCACCTTGGACATTTCACTTACTTTAATTCTTTTTTATGTACTGCAACAGAAACTTGAATTTACATTAATACACAGTCTTCTTAGGGTTGAGTGGAAGAACAAGTTAGTGGTGACTCACCACCAAATTTGAACTCCGCCCATTATTTTCTTCTTTGAATTTTTCATTGTTTTAATATGATTACTGAATATTTTTTTGTTGAAAATAATAAAGACGATTTATCATTATTATTATTATTATCAGCACCAGAATCATTGAATGGTATCGGTAGATAACAGTTCGGACACAGCTGAACTTCTATTTTTTCCTATTTTCTATATTACCCTTTCATGCTCACACTTATAATTAATGATAGGTGAGGATTTTTTTTGCAGATCTGCGTGCGTAAACATGCCTCGTTCCCTTATACAGGGTGTTGCGAAATTCGACCGACAACGCTTGCAAGGTAATAGCCCTTGTGATTCCATAATCACTGAGCTAGTGACATACGGTCTCCGAGAAACAGGTCGTTGATTGAATATAATGCATTCAAATTCGGTATATGGTTTCATATTATCAATATGAATTTATTATAGCCGTTTGATGTTCCTTTACACTGAGAGAACAGTTCATTCACAATAAAGAAATTTTATTTATTGTCAACGAATGACGTTGTTGCACCGAAAAAAAAATCTCAGTAATAATTATCAAATATTTGTTAACGTCAAATTTGTTTATAATTAACACTCGGTTAGGCGCACCCCTAAAAGGAACATGGATAGTCGCTATGGATCTGAGAATCCGAATGTGGAAACAATGATAATTTTGAAAAATATCAAGGCCTATCTTATTCATTTGGTGGATTAAGATCAATAAACTTCATTTTTAATACAGGTGTTTATTGAAAAAAATAGAAACAAACAAAAAATTATAAAAAATTAATTCTAGCATTTTCAAAGTTAGAAGGTAATTAGAACTGAGGAAAAAATTAGTCAGTCGTCCTCCTCGTCAGAATCGACTGCCTGTTCTTTTTCACAGCCACCAGTACACGTAAAGGAACAGTAATACACTGCTGTAGATGTACAATAAAATTCAATAATAATGCAAATCAAATAAATCAAAAATACTTACAAATTTGGTCGCTGTGAATCTCATAGATCCATGAGGTATCTACGGCAGTGAATGACACCACTCGAGAAGTCAAACCAACACTAAAGTGTGACGCCTGTTAAGGTAGGAGGATACTGTAACGGATATTCTCCTACTCCAAATGACTAGCGCCATTCGGCTAAATATGAAACCAGTGGATCTCACAGATCCCGCGCGACTAATCGAGTGTTAATTAGCCATATTCATAATTGAAAAGGCTTATTCATCAAAATCGTATCTGTTTTTATGCTTCATTTATAAACAATAAATGATTTATTACTGTCATATTTGTTCATTGTGAACAACATTTTTTAATAATTAACAATTCATCTATTACGCAGGTTCATGAAGTGAAAATCAATAAGATGGATTTATAATTATAATGTGATTTGGTGATAATTAACAATGATACAGTGTCTGTTCATAAATCTATGTGTTTATTCATCATGATATACGTTTGTTTATCATAAATATTCGTGATATGAAGGATAACAATGGATATTTCATTTTATTCTTCGTTTGGTAATTATAACAATACATTTGGTTATAATTAAAAAACTGTCATGCGCATGGGCCATCATTTTAGTCTAGCTTCCATCTTAGATACCGTGTGCATCTTTGTGAAATCGTTCCTAATTTACCTGTGATTTCGACCAACGCGAAAGTTATGAAGTGTGATGGTTATATTAGTTCAATTCCTTATATATGACAGTGAGTGTTTGTTTACATCTGGACATGTATATTCACGTCTACAATTAGCTTCTTGGGATAATTTCATATAGGTACGACATCACATATGAAAAAAAATGGCAGACGACTATCAGTGCATCCCGAGGTGCATCTATTTTACAACATTTAGTATAAGTTTAAAAGAAAACAGTGCGTGCATGTGGTGCTAATCAATCGATATTGGAACATTTTGAACGTAAGTTGGTGCGAATACCTATGTAGTATGCATGAGTATTTTCTGATATTATTTGCTTTGCATGAATTTGAAAGAAAGTACTATATCATTATGTACATTGAAGCGTGCGTATGCCATCATAGCTGAGAGCTGATGAGTTATAAGATAATAGGTTTGTTTATACGCTACCATCCCTGATCGAATAGTTTGATTATATACGTATATAAATAATATTCGTTAACTGTTACTAAATTTGTAATTGATATAAGGCTTAGAAACACCCCCTCGCGGAGAGATCCACAAGTGGTGGTAATACACCAGGAAATTTAATAAATCAATGAGCAATTTTCTGAAATGAAGACATTGAATTATAACAGCGAACAAAATATTTATTCATTATCAATAAAAGCTTTCTCTTCATGCTGTACTTATGTATGAATATTTGGTTACTGAAAACGAAGATTTTGAAATAATAAATATTGTTTGGTGTGGGTGAAGAAATATATATTCTCAGTTAACAAATGAATATTTTCATGAAATAATCATAATTCAACCATGCACGAGGCTTATTCATGGGGGTGTGAACAAATAATTTGTTTTTTTTAAACAAACGTTTAATAAGCCATATTTCAATAACGGATTTGGTCCCAGTTAATCATATTTATTTATTGTAACCAAACTGTTCTTTCAGTGTGAATATGGACTAACAATAACATGATTTCATCACAAACTAACATTATTAACAAATATCACTTTGTGAACACTACACCGCATTCTGCATTAAAATAGATTTGTTTATAATAATGTAACGTTACTTCAAATTCAAATAATGCAATCGACTGTCACTCATATGTTGAGTAATCTATATTGAAACTTAATACACTGCGTTTTGATTCAAGCTTTTCCAGTGTTGTACAGGCAGAAGGCATTGTTTCGATAAAGAAGCATTACTCAAATAAGCATTAGGAATCATTTTGTTATTGATAAGTTATGCTTCGTCAATATATAATATATTGTTTGGTTATTGATAGTTAATATTTTGAGTCGATGATCGATGGTTCCAATTGTTTTTTCCTAACAGAAAGAATAAAGAGACTATGAGAATGAATTCATTTGAGCAAAAGTTTACAGTATACTTACATCACATATATTTTGATATCAAAACATCTGAATAAAAAGAGCTAAAATCAGACCAGAAATCCAGGTGTATCGAACATCCACTATATTGATATGAATGATCTGTATCATGAAAATAAACAAGTTCTTGATAGAGATAATATATCTTGTCTCATTTATTTTTTCATCTCTTGGAGCGCACGAAAGGATGTTGAAATTGCATTTAATCATTCAAAATGATTGAAAAGTATAAGAAAATAATAAACTATCAGGTTTCCAAGGTCAACGATGTTCATTATATCGAAAAGTCATGATTTTCCATCTGATCAATCAATTTCGAAGCACTTGGACGGATTAAAATGGATGAGATAAAAAAATTCTCGTATGTTTATGGATATCTCAACAGTTGTCGAATACTGATTGACAATAACACAGGCATGTTAACTATTAACAAATATTGGTTACTGTCTTATTAATTTTATATTCGAGCCTTGTTTCTTCAATCAAAGATTTTATGGATTTGCATCCATTCTTATAAATCTATTCACTTATAGTAATTTGCACTTCTTGTCATCTCCTCACAATTGAGTCTATAGAACAAGCTTAAGAGGAAATGTATCAGCATGCCTAATAGTTATCAAATTGGTAAGATTTAGAGTCAGACGATGAGAAATATATAGGAATTCAATTAATAATAACACTTGATGGAGAAGTAAATGCTAGTATGATTTATTCACCATGCAGAGTCGATATTGTGTCTTAGAAATTGAAGAACAATATGATAAAAACTCATCAGCCACTTCGTGTAATACCTATATGCTCCAGCACAAACTGATGAAACTCAAATTCACATTCAACAGTATACACACCACATGTTGACTCCGACTACCTACTGCATTCCAACCTTGAGCATGCGCCGAAGAGAATATCACTAAGTCATGGGAACGTCAATAATTTCATAACAAATAATTTGTTTCTCTCAAGAACAATTTCTTATTCTCTGAACAATTAAACTGTGGAGAGAATTTGTTACCAGTTAATAAATGGTAATTCGAGAGTGAGATTCCATAAAGTTAGGATATAACGAACAGGTTTGTGACAAACTCATGGAAGTTACACCTAAAAACATATGTTAATATTGAAAGAATCAGCTTCTAACGAATCCTTTATTTTTGGGTCAACGATTCTTTTACAAATTACATGGTAGTATTCGATAAGGTATATTGATGACAAGAAGATGGCGTTAATATTCAACGAAGCATAGTCAAACAAATTTTTCATAACAAAAACTTTCCCTCAGTGTACGTGTTTGATTGGGGTTCTATGCAGAATACAATGAATATTTATTAACACCTCGATGCCTGATTCGAAAATCAGATAACATATCACATATGAGATTTAATCGATAGAGAGTGCATATTGATCGAATACTTTTAGTGAATTCGTATCAATTCTTCAGGGGCACTCAAGGATGACCAATTGCAACAACGCCAACAACTAGTCGACGACTTGAATTTGGACCAATCTGATCGAGGATTTTCTGGATTTCAATATATTTTTCTGGAACCGATGACAACTGTGGAAGAGAACGGAATGTCAGATAAAGAAACATTAGAACCCAAGAGGAAGGAACATCGGAGAGTTCTTTCAATGCTCGATTGAGGTTTTCAAAAGCAGAATACTTCACATTTATTGAAGTACATGAAGACATCACATAGACGTCACGATTTCTGTAGTTATCTGGGACGAAAGAACTCAACTTTCATGAAGCCACCTCTGTTACAATTAACCCGAGTTCACTGTTATGATGCGAGAATTGCATTAATGGCACTCGAATCTAGTAGGTAGGTATTTATCAATAACGACTTGTCATATCATGCTGTCATGGTCATGGCTAATTAATGTTGAATGCAATTGAAATGAAGTGCTTTTATAGTGATAATTGGTTCATATTTCAGTTTTACACAGATCAAATAATTGAAATGTATTGCTGATAGTGAACAAATTTTAATATACACCTTCTTAGTAAAGAATATCATTACCACGGGACCATATACCCTTCGGCTGAAGCCTTGTGATATACTCTTGGTCCCTGGGTAATACTGATATTCTTTACTATCTTGTCGTGGGTGTAGGATGGAAATGTATCCTAACTGTCTATCGATTGAAGTTTTCAATGTTCGATTACACTGATTGACGTATTGCTGCAGTTCCAACATATCAGATATGATGAGTGTTGTTTTGAAATGCCACAAAAAAATTAGACTTGATCATATTATATGACTTTCTGTACTTGTTTGAGTGGAGTGAGCGATGTTTTGGACAATTTCAACGATCCAGTCACCAGTGGGTCCGAGGAGGTTACAATGGTTTGAGCGAAGAGAAGAATAAGACATTTATTTTGCTCTTTGTTTTTTCGATTTCCCTATTAGCGCCTGATTTTCAGCCACGATTGCAGAGGTTAGATTTCCTGTCAGCTCAACCATAGCCCTGGATAAAATCAGGAATAGGGTTAAAACACCCACTTGAATTTATAGCGATATATTATGTTACTTCGCAGAACAACAGGTCTAAAAATTAAGAGAATGCATGTATGCGTAACAACATTTCAATAGACACATAAGTATGGATATTTGGATATACTTATAGATTGTTTGGTCGTTATTGAAAGCGCCAATTGATGATGATATATATCACGTTGTAATTTACTTGATTGCCCCAGATTCGTTCCTGAAATTTCAATTTCATTCCGTTGTTTTGCAATCAATTCTTCTTCCACCATAATGATTTTTGAAGCATCACGTGTGATGATAATGATAGATTTTTTTTATATCTCTTTCGTTTTGTTTTGACACAAATAAACTCACAACTCTCTCGATATTCAGGTTAGCTCTGAAGACATGCAGAGGTAGTGATAGATTTCTAAACGTGATTCCACCCAGTATGCCTTTCGATGGGTATCACTATTTATATATCATTTTGATAATGATAAAAAATGCATGGCAGAGTTATCGTGAGTTCTTCATGCATTGAAATTAATCAACATTATTTGTTGGAAAATAAGGCGTTTCGATACGATTTCACTTGAGCTGCCTGTGTTCCAATATAAAAAATAGGTGATTTGTGTAGATGAAAATACAAAGACATACCGGTTGCGTGAGCCCAAATGGTAATCACGGTCAGGTGTAGTTGCATTTGATGAATTTCTCCTTGTTCACAAACAGGCTGCCTCAAGGAAGTATAGGTTCATGTTCGATCTATACATATGCTACGAAATGACGAAACATAATGTTTCCGCTTGGCCAAGAAACCTTTACCTTGAGAACATGTTTCAATGCAAGAAGAACCCGAAAGGATTCTGTTATGTATCATTTTTCAACATCAAAATATATCCCAAAGAGAAAAAAACTCAAAGTCATGAAATGAACGAAAAGGGTGGATAACGAGAGAAACGACCCAAAATCTATGCAATAATTCGTATAGACGAATGAGATCGCGAGTGTTTGCTTCCTAAACGCCGAGCTGGGTCTGAGTGGTTCAGGAAAGCGCGAGTATACCTGCCCACCCGTTTCGTGCTTTCGGCTCTCATCAGTGTAGAAATGGCCCTGATAGCATTCTTGACCGCTATCTGGTGCGAACCGGACCCAACATGAACGCATTTCAGCATTTATACCCCACGAGGCGTTCAACGTCCGCGAAATGAACACGAACGCCATCTAGAAGGGGACACTCCAGAACAAGATTCCATTCCATTCGGGTGGCTGGTGCTTGACTGGACTTCAAATAGGAAAAAGCCAAATACACAAAGTGGAATGCAATGGTCACAAGAGAAGGAATCACAACGTCATTACCACAATAGTCCATTAAATATACAGAAATGGTAGAGAACGAGAGGAAAAGAACTACTTTCCTGGCTTCATGCCATGCAGAACATTGGAACCTACCCACATGACATCTTTGCAATGATTCGTATAGACGAATAAAATCGCAAGTGTTCCTTTTCGAAACGCCGAGCTGAGCCCAAGTGGTTCAGAAACGCGTGACTACTTGCAGACCAGTTTCGAGCTTTTGGCTATCATCACTGCAGGGCTGTCTCAGATAGTATTCTTGACCGTTATCTGGTGCGAACCTGAAATGGTGAAATGGGACTGGCTGCGGCTGGCGTATTTGCAACTGGGAAAAAGCCAAATACACAAAGTGGGATGCAATGGTAATGAAGAGTGAGAAACACAAATTCATAGCCAGAATATTCTATAAAATGGGCGGAAATGGTAGAGAACGAGAAAATAACAACAACTTTCCTGGTTATATGCCACGCAGAACATTGGATCACATATCCGCCCGAAACGTATGCAATAATTTGGATAGACGAATAAAATCGCAAGTGATACCTTCCTATACGCTGAGCTGGGCCTAAGTGTTTCAAGAATGGGTGACTACCCGCAGACTGGTTTCGTGCTTTCGACTCTCATCAGTGCAGGGCTGTCGCAGATAGCATTCTTTACTGCTATCTGGTGCGAACCTCACCCAAGTGAACGCGAACACCAAACCACTTAGGCGCAGCTTGACGTTCAGGAAGGGAAAACTATTATGCCAAGAAATTATGAGAATTTGAAAGCACCATATCATGCAATCACGTTATTGGACTATATTGATTCGGTGATTAACTTATGCAAAAGTCTCTCGTTTCTCGTACTCCTATGGAAGAAGAACTCTGAATTCGATATAGAGGCCACTGATAAACAGAGTTTGAGAATTCTAATAAAATATCAATATTATGTGATGATCTGTTCATTATATCGATACTGGGCAGTGGAAGCAATCTGACTGAAATATTCCCATAATCTTGAATCGGGTTCAAAATGACACTGGAAGTCAATTTTCTTTCGAACATCACATCAGAACTATTGAACATCACATAAAAATGAAAATACGACGCCAGAGGCATGAAACCTCAACAAGACAATCATTCTCTCTAATTGATGCCATTAGCTGCAGCGTTGTCCGCTCTCGATCTTTACAGAGAACATCAATTTCATTCCAATTCCACCTGCGGCCCTTGAAAACTCCTAGAATAATGGGTGGACGTTGTTGCCAAGTCTCCATGCCATCTGGTCATGTTATAGGATCCTATGAGGAAATAATTATATTGAAGTCGTTTATCTACAACTATGGAGTCATTTATACATTGCTAACTCATTCAACATTCAACTCAACATTTAATGACAGACATCATTGTGATGAATCGAGTAATGAGAGTAATAATGACAGTAGGATGGTGTAATAATCTAACATCCCATCGTCTTGTCAAATTCAACTAGATAGGTATTCGTTCTACTAGTTCTACTAAAGCACACCACTATACTACTGATGTTTGTGAAATACACGCGAATTCAAAAGACTTACATGGTCCTCATAGTTTTAATCCCCTTAACTCTACGAATTCACGAAAAAATGAGAATTCACTGTTTTTTATTCTCAACAGTGACTACCATCATGAGTAACCATAAAATAGGACTTGACACTTGACAGTTGCAGATTGGTTCACACTTATGTGCGGGCTATTCGAATAGATAAGTACAGACCAATCAGTATCATGGAACTTCATTGTTGAAAACTAGCGTCTAGAGACAGGGTACTACAATTAATCATCGCGGTGGGGAAATGCTACAGCGGAAGCAAGTTAATGCATAATCTGCAATAGTATGATTCATTTCACAACTGAAAAGTGAATTGACATATATACCTGGTAAGATTGACTGATATTTGATTGTACGACTTTTTTCCTGTTGAAAAAAGTTAGATCCACCATTGTTTATCATATCCACACAATCAAAATCATTGAAATAAGTTATAAGCTGTTCGTTGATTGAAATTTCTGTCAATAGGTTTTCGATTATATCAATGAGTATTTCAAATCAGATTCAGTGATTTAGCAATATGATAACCTTCATTATTTCCAGAGATTAATTTCAGAAATCTCAGAGTTGCTTTGATATTCGAATAGTTGTAGATAAAGTATAATATTCTACTCGCACCAAATGACTATTACTCACTCAGGTGATTACAGCACTCGCCTTCGGCTCGTACTGCAACTTTCATTTTCTTGGGAAATAGCTATCATTATGCTCTCGTTGAATATACTATTATTCAACATCAACTTTTTCAGTTGAAACGAAATATACAGTGACGACATATGAAGGCTATTCCTTCTTCAACTTCTGAACGGGACAAGCTAGCGAGGTCTTTTTTTTTTTTTTTTTTTTTTTTTTTTTTTTTTTTTTTTTTTTATCGCTTGGAGCGCACGAGAGGGAATCCCTATAATGTTCAAAGAACATCGAGCGTTCCTAGGGAGGATAGGGACAGGAGGTAGGTATTGGAATTTTTTTTAAACTTCTGGAGATTATATGTTGTTGGGAACACTTCCTCAGGCAATGAATTCCAGAGCCTAGCCGTTCTATGGATGAAGGAGTCTTGATAAAGCGCTGTTCGACATCTTTCGAGGTTGACAACGAGAGGATGTGCTGACTGGGCTTGTCTAGTTCGTCTGATTGGTATTGCTAGTGAAGGGATGATAGCAGAGATTTCCGAAGAACATTTCCCGTGGAAGTATCGATAGAAAAGTGAAAGGTCGCCGACCTTTCTACGGTGTTCTAATGATG